GGGCCTAAGTTATTCAATTAGGGTTAAAGATGTAACCCTAGTAGCTCATAGTATAAAAGGACCCCATGGGTTGTGGAAATCGGCCATCTTGCTTCCTAAGGAACCCTAGAGCCGATTTCCACACCTCTCCTCTCTCTCCAAATCATCCTCTTGCTAGTTGGTGTTTGTAAGCCATTAGTGGAGTGGCAATTGTGACTCTAAGTTCCAAGAACAAGAAGATTCAAGCAAGCAACTTAAGGTATTCATCTAGATCTGATTTCATATGTTATGATTCCATTGTATTCACTAGATCTAGCATTGAAAGTCTTTGATAAATTGCATGTTCAATTAGAGAAACCTACATCCAAGCATTAGGGTTTGCATGTGCACATAGGAAAGTTCTTATGGCTCAAACCCATCATATGTACGTTGGGCGTACTCCATTCAAATCAGAACCCTATTTTAGGGTCTTGGACCCTATTTAAACTCCTTATCTCATAACCTAACCCTAATATCTTCAGCCTCTACCCCTCTAAACCCTATAAATTGTCATATATCATCCATGGTGGCATTTTGAGATTATGGAGATCATTTTTGGGGTGTTTGATACATTTTCAAGAAGAAGAAGTTCGATGCAAAGCTTTGAACTTGATCTAGCTTTTAGGACTCATTCTCAGCTTGATGAAGGTATAAAGCTTTGAACTTCATCATTCATCTCTTAGATCTACCATTTTTTGGGTTTTAGTTCCTTTTTGGTCCAAAGGATGAAGCTTTATGGTTCAAATTCGATTCTTAGACTTGGGGTTGCCACCCTTGATGCTATTTGAGTACCTAAGACAGAAAGTTGCCATCTTGAAGGTCTTAATGGGTTCAAGCATGAGTTAGAGTCACTTTTATGGAAGTATAATGCCATTTTTTGAGTTTGGGTTTGTTTGGGGCATGTAAAGTCACCAAGTCAGTGACTTTATGGGTTTAGACGTTAAGTATAGCTCAGATCTGCGTATTGGACTTGTTGGATTAAGTATTAAGCACTTAATGGATTTTGTGCATGAGCTATTTGTACGTTGGGCGTACTATGTAGTACGCAGCGCATAGATCCCATTTTCCAAGTACGCTAAGCGTACATAAGAGGTACGATGGGCATACGCTCTCAGGAGGATTTGGGCCTTAGTGGACTTCGGACCTTTGGGCCCTAATGGTTTTGGGCCTAGATTTGTTGATTATTAGGCCTGAATGTTTCTTTGGGACGATATTGGAATAGTTGGGCCTATTGGGCCTCGTGGCCCAATATAGATATGGACTTCACATTTGTGGGCCTCGGTTTGGGCCAATTCTTGGATTAGGTTGTTTTGGGCCTTCGTGGGCCAATGGGGGTCAGGATTATTGACTAAGGAGAATATTGGGCTTTAGTATAAGGTCCATTAGAAAGATCTGGGCCCAATTTGGAAAATTGGGCCATTGATGGTTTTATGGACATTATAATGATGGGCTTTTGTTTTGGGTTTGGGCCTTAGTTTTTGGATCATATTTGGCCAGGGATAAAATGGTCATTTTACACCATGCATGGATTAAGGATTATGGTATGGAACCCAATTGCTAATTGGGTATATTGGTTGGTAGTGACAGCTCGGGAAGCTGGCCGGGCAACAACAAAGGAATTCATGTGGGAAGCTTCTGTAGTGCGAGATGAGTCTTCTCACCATACAAATGGGTCTAAGGCACCAAGGCCGGCACATTTTATGTTATGTGGTACTCTAGCTGTAGTAGAGATATGTGGTATGATAGTTAGCTTTATGCTAAGTGGTATGCTAGTGATTATATTGTATGTGTTATGCTAGTTGTCTTTGTGATACTTGCATGGAAGACCCTGGGGGGAGCCCGTGGCATTGGATGTAAGACCATGTGGGCTAGCCCATGATATTCCTAGGTAAATACCATATGGGGTAGCTCATGGCATTAGATGTAAGACCATGTGGGGTAGCCCATGGCATTCCTAGGTAAAGACCATGCGGGGTAGCCCATGACATTGGATGTAAGACCATGTGGGGTAGCCCATGGCATTTCTAGGTAAAGACCATGTGGGGTAGCCCATGGCATCCTTACAGGTTTATGTATGCATGGCTTATGTGATATATGTAGCATTATAGTTAATATTGTATGTGTTATGTGGATTGTGTGTAGGGTATGCTCTGGGGGACTCACTAAGCTTCATGCTTACGGTTTGCAGTTTTTGTTTCAGGTATCATCTATTTGGAAATGAAGAGCTCGGATTGATTGCAGTGCACACACCTATGATTTCCACAGTGAATGATTTTGGGATGAACTTTGATAAATGTTTTACTTAATGATGATTTGAAATGTTTGAAATAAATGGTATCAATGTTTTAGCTATATTAAAAATGAAATTTTTACCCTTGATTTTGGATCGTTACAAGTTGGTATCAGAGCCTTGGTTTGAGGGATTCAGACATAGTTTCGGGTGTTCTGAACTCAAACTGAGGATCTATAAAGTTTTTAAGGGACAAATGTTTTCAAGGAAAAGTTTTCTAAGACAAGAAAGGGTGTGGTGCATGCAATCAACCGAGCTCAAGTAAGTTTCCCCAGAATGCCCACATTTGTTATCTATTATGATTTGATTATGAATATGTGAATCGCATGCTAGTTACGGCTAGGGGAGATGCCTGAATATGTTGTTTCAGCTGGTAGACGTGCATGCTAGTGTTTAGTAGTCAGCAATAGATTGGCATGATACGTGGTGCTTGTAGCCTTGGGAATAATTGATGCCATGCTAGGGTGAGAATGATTATTGGTATTAGTAACTACTACATATATGCTTTTAAAATTGTATACGGTTAGGATCTTATAGCCTTAAAATAATTGATTTGGCCTTATTTCATGTTCCTTGTCTGGTTGTGGTCCTAGGGTAGAGTCTATTATTCGACGGTCTATTAGATCATGTTCTGTATATAATTTGCATGCATAAGGTAGCCGACAACGAGGGTCGATGTGGACAGCATGGGTCGTGGTTTATGGGCTGAATGTTCTATGATAGTTTGTGGGTCGGGGATTACCCTAAGGTAAGCCTAGGATGAGATTAGTGACATGAGTCACCTGATAGTGAATTGTATGTATAGGTAGAATTGTTTGATTGGAATATGTTGGTTAGTTTTCTGTTGTCTGAATGCTGCTTGCTTTGTGCTTTGTGGGACTTCTAGCAATATGAGCTAGCTACTAAGTGAACATGCTAGGTCATATGTGGCACAGGCTGGATAATCTCAGAGTGATGGATTTGGCCCTATTGCGCAGTTCTTGTTTGAGTCTGACCGTTCTAGCATTGATTCTTTTACTTGAAGGATTATCTGATCTCTGCTACATGTGGCTATATTCATAAGGTGGCTAGTTGACATTATTGGGAACCTAGGGGGAGCCTAGGAGGTGGTTCGGTGGATATTGTGCTACTGTTTAGCAGACATTTGGTACATCATGGGAGTAGGTGACTTAGAGGATTCGAGATGATTCCGGAGGAAAGTATGGATACGTGTGGAAGGTAATATTGGGCCCGTACTACTGAAAGCATAGGATCCATACTCAAATCGGGGAAAGTCTTGGAGAATCTAAGAAGCCTGGGAAGGAGAATTATTGGTTATGATTGGACCGTGGGGATAGCTGCTATGCAGAATGCAGATGAGCACACAAGGGGAAGGACCAGGGTTTGGTCCCGGCTCCGGTGGTGAGTCAGTTAGCGGAAGGACTGCCAGGATTCTGAGTTCGTCTTGGATTTCTGGTATCAGGCGGCAAGGATTGATTGTGCGATCTATTCGGGATTGGAGACTATGACTTGGGAGTATTTGTAGCCCGGATAGGGCAGAGGTTGCTCCAGCTATTGCAGTTCAGCCGTTGATGATTGAGCTGGTGAGTGTGACACGGTGCGAGACCCCGAATGATGCGGATCTCAGAGCCCGAGTGCGGAAGATCGATCAGGACACTACTAGAAAAGAGCCTTTTACGACGCGCAATGCGCGTCGTAAAACACTCAGACGACGTGCAAATGTGTGTCAATGAAGGCCCTGTCATAACGAGAGACGACGCGCTTTTGCGCGTCCCCTATTTACGACGCGCATTTACAACGCGCTCTTACGACACGCAATGCGTGTCAAGGAAAGCCCTGTCATAAAGAAGATGACACGCATTTGTGTGTCGTAACCTTACGACGCACATTTACGATGTGCATTGCGTATGATTAAAGCCCCTGTCATAAAGAAAGACGACACACATTTTTGCGTGTCATAAAGTTAAATGTTTTAAAAAT